AATTCAACAAGCGGGCTCAAGTTGTTAGATCAATTTGGATAGGATTAGATGATGAGAATGACTCAGGAAGTGGCAAAATTGGATATTTTTTGTTCACATACAAATCTAGGATTAAATCATTTAAGACTGGGGTTTAATTCATCAAAATTAGGGATAATATATAACTCCGATAAAGACTCAATTTGAGTAGGAAAGAAAAATTGATTTTCAAAGAAATTAATGTGATAAGAGATATAGGATCCATTAAAGCATGGATTATAACAAATATAATTTTTTAAGGAAAAATGATAAAAAATAGGGGTATCAAAATGGGTATTTAGGTCGTGATCCGGTCGAACCCAGAATTTACCCATGTCCAATTCAGCCGACCAAAACCCGACCTTATTTTTTAAACGGGTCAAAAAATTCAGACCCGAATCCGACCCGCCGAGTTACCAAGTTGACTTAACCCAACCTATGGACCTGCGACAGTGCCAGTGCGAGCTGTGCTGCAGGCTAGGACTGCCTGGCAGGACCGCGCGAGAGCGCGGGTGACAACAACCTAGCAGGTGAGCTCACAAGTGCGAGCATGCTGGCATACACGAGCGGGCGAAGGCGAACCACTTGTCGGTGCTAGGGTGCGTTGAGCGTGACTGAGGCGAGCAGGCAATTGGGGCGAGTGCGTTGTGCTCGAGGCCACGAGCTAGGGGGGACAGCGAGACAGGGGGTTAGGCATGGGTCAATTCGAGTTGATCCCGGGTTATCAAGTTAACCCGAACCTGACCCAATTTATAAATTGGTCCAAAAATAGGACACAAACCTAACCTGCTTCTTTATTTGGTTGTCTCAAACCTGAATTTTCCGTGTCTGATTTGGGTCGGGTTTTTCAGGTCATGTCACTTATTGATAGTTTGATAACTGTAATCAAAATTGTCCCTTAATTATATATGAAGTATCAAAATAGTTCCCAACTATATAAAGGATTTATTTTGTCCCTCAAGACTTTAAAAAAGAACAAAAATAGTCCCATGGTGTGATTATTTTTGTTCATCTTTAAAAAGTTGAAGATCAAAATTATCTTTTAATATAGTTGGAGATTATTTTGGTCTTTTATAAAGAGCAATGATTCTCAATTTTTGTAACAAGTATTATAACCCAGAAACACACATTTAGTAAATTGAGCAAAAAGATTATGGCGTTCATGGGATTGTAGATATATACAATCAAAACTACGCATATCAAAGTAATTGGGATGCGTATGAAAAAGACAATAATAAGGATATTCAATGTTTTTGCCCAAGACTTGAACTTGGAATTTAGATGGATCTTAAGATTCAAGTTACAAGTTCTAACAACATCAAATATTTGACAATTCTTAGGTTCAATAACATCATTTTGTTAAGGTGTATGGGAACATGATCATTTGGAAACGATTTCCTTTTTCCGGAGAAAATCTTGGAAATTGAGTCACGTATGTTTACCTCCAGATCATATATTAAAATTTGGATATTGGAGGAGAATTAATTTCCGAAATATGTTATACATTTCTTAAAGAGAGATAATACTTCAAATTTATAATTAAGAAAATATACCAAATTATACTAATATAATCATCAATGGATGCCACAAAATTTATATAATTGTCGTGTGATATAATAGGAGTAATGCCCTAGACATCACTATGAATTAAGTTAAAATAATTCTAATACAACTACCATGTGATGAAAAAAGGAAGAAACGTACTCTTCTTGATTTTATAGATTTAGCAAACAAAAGAAGGATTAGAGGAAATTTGGTCTTTGTTATTAAAAAATTAGAGTTTATTTATTTAGATAAAACAATATAATTATGATGAATTAAATGTTTGTGAGATAGGTCACCCTTTGGGTTGGACACAGAGACGACATTAGGAGTATAAAAAATGCAAAGAAAATAATTATCTAGCTTTTAACCCCTTCATAATTACCATCCCCTTTCACCCGATCCTGCACAATACGACCATCACGAGAAAATCAAATATCACAGTTATTATCAACTAACTCTCCAACTTAAATAAAGCTATTAGAAAGCTTAGGTGATACAAGGCTATCATTATTAATAGTAGAGTTAATGTCCCCATTAGTATGAATATGTAACTTCCATTGACAATATGATAGAGGATGAACCATGATATGAACTAACATTTTAAAGAATATGCGAGGAGCTACCTAGCTAGTCTTATGATTAGATGTTCACAGGTTTAGATAAAGTCGGTAATCTGTACCTTTTAGCCCTACGATTGATAGGGCTTTAATAATCTTATGCTGAATTATTTCAAGAGTAAGACTTAATTCGTCCATACTTGTGAAACCAATGGCCGAATCACTAACAATTGTTTATTTAGTATTAGATTGGCAATTTTGGTGGCAAGTATGACATTTTTTAATGATGTGCCTAGGCTTGTTATAATAATTACCTTTTTTAGCACAATTAGGAGCCATATGTTCGTTTTCTTGCAAAAGAAGCACTGAACGTGTTGCTTATATTATTATTTACAGTTCCCATGGGTTGCATAAGCAATATCATTCTGGTGTATTTTTGTTGTTGAAAAATGGCTTGTCTAGCAATATCCTCTTTGAGAGTAATTCTTTGAAGCATAGGTAAAGGAGAATGATTATGATTCAGCAAATTGGAATGAATAGTCTCAAATTAAAGATAAAGTTTCATAAAAAATTGATATCTCTTGCTTTGTGTTTGAACCTCTATGTAGCAAAAAGGGACTCATTAGATACTTTAGTAGAGACCATGTGATAAATTCAGTCCTTAAAATGAAATCTATAGAAATAATCTTGAATGGAGATATTGCTTTAGTAATCTCATATTCTAGCTAGAAACTTTTGCATCCATTTTCTTAATTATAAACATTTCATAAATATTCTCTCATATCTTTCATTATCTTATATAACCCTAGATTATGAACAATCCTGATCAACCAATCAGAAATCTAAAAAAATTGTCATTATCCTTGTTTCCTTGATTTGCCTTTGAAGCAATTTAGCGAGTTCAGTAGAAGCTAGATCACTACGATCAGTGTGGCCATGGAGTTCTTTATCCATGACAAGTCGTTGAAAATGAAAGTCTCAGACAGAAATTTTTATTAGTGTCGTATGTTGAAAATTTCTAAGTTGATTACCATGATTTATAGAAAGAAATCACCATGTGTATCGAGAAAAGAGAATAATTGAATTGGTAAGTTGATGTGTTGTGAAATTCTACCCCAATTGGGATAGAGTCGTGTACTCGAGTATTTAAGAGATGAATGTTGAAGGAAGTTGAAAGGCACTCAAGAAAGGGATGTTGGGTCGCTATTGAGGATGAGAGTCAAATGTTGGAAGATGAGGAGATGAACAAGAGGGAGATTGTTGCACATGAGAGTTGTGTTCTCTTGAGTTTTAAGGATAACAGTGAAGGATGATGAGAAGGTGCACGTGAAGGGGAGATCATTCTCAAGGACGAGAATTGAATGATGGAAGATTACTAATTGTGCTTGGGAGGGAGATCTTGTAAACGGAAAAAAATGAGGTATGCTTGTTAAAGGATGACAAGATAGCAGTGCATGAAAGGGAGATCTCTTCATTGTGGAGGACGAGAGCTGCCTGAAGAGAGATCATGAACTACTATGTCACTTGATGTAAAGGATTTCATATTCGATGAAATGAAGAGATGGCATCATCTCAATCAGATTGCTTTTCTTTAAATTGAGATTTCTTATCATTATATCCAAAATAGTTTATGTTACAAGGTTGAAATTCAACAGTCAGAACAATCAAGGTTTGGCCAAATAAGGAACCTACATTATTATTTTTAAATACAAATATTTAAAGCTACATTGTTTATTACTTCAATTCTACAACAATAATAACACAAGATTTACAACAATAATACAGGAGTCTTGATGTAATTATGGCTATTTTTTGTATGATGTGTGCTGTGATATATCCAACTTATAATATATATACTCCAAGGGTATTGTGAGTTTATAATAAACCCCCTTTATCTTCAATCTTTTATGCAAGTCCTCTTATTAGGGTGTTATTGGTCCTTTCTGGGCAATTACCTCTGGTTTTTCGAGTTGGGTGTCCTATTCCGTATCTTTCCTTCCAAATTGGGAGACCTATCCTTGCATAACACTCACAGAAAGCTTTATTTCCATTTCCCACTTCCACTCTAGTTGTGATTCGGATTTTTTCAGGGATCTCTAATGATTTGGAGTTCCATGATACATGCTAAATACTACCTATAGGTCTTCATCAAAACTTTTTGCTGGTGGTAAGTTAACATTCCATGTGCTTACTTCAAGCGTACCAAACTATTTCAGTGTGATTAGATTGATTTTTGGCTTACTATTGATGATTTGGAGTTCTCTGATGCCCCATCATTTCTTATTGTTTCTTGCCCATCCGTGTAACTCACTTGGCCGTACCTATGGCTATGGTGGAATTGCAAGTTCCAATCATTCCCCCCAGAGTGTTCGCTTGCAAAGTTTACCTTTTTTCTTCAATCTACAAGCTTCTCATGGGAAGATCCCCTTTTTTTTGCCCTTGCATTTGTTGGCCTCCCCCTGGCTGGAATTATTTGTGGAAAAGTAGGCTAACTCTTCTTGATTTGAACAACCAATCTTCTTGTGATTTTATTCTGTCGCAATTCATGGAACCTTCATGGTGCTTTTTGGGCCCAAAGAGCTTTCTGGGCCTGAGGCGACTTGATGTGGACTTGATTTGGGCTTGTAATTTAGTTGGATCATTTTGATGCTGGAGCCTTTTGGATCAGTTGATTTTGTATTTTCATCTTTGTGAAGCCGAGGCTTTTAGTTTTTACTTTTGCCTTATTGATGATAATATTGAATCTAAAGGACCTTGTCATTGGCTTCTTTTTGTTAATACAAATAAATTATAGCGTATTAATAGTTACCAATTTCTGAAAACGTATAAAGGGCTTTGTTATGTATTTTAACGCCCTGCACTGGTCCATTTTATTTGCAGATTGAAGGGTCGGTTATATAAAATGGCATTTTGCAACAAGCTTTGTGGCTTAATTCGGCAAGGCGTTTCAAATTCATTGACTACACCAGCTCCCATGACACATATGCTCAATGCTTCCCGCTATATGTCATCATCAAAACTTTTTGTTGGTGGTAAGTTACCATTCCATATGCCACCTCAAGCGTACCAAACTATTTCAGTTTGATTGGATTGATTCGTGGGTTTACTATTGATGACTATCAGGTCTCTCTTATGGCACGGATGACATGTCACTTAAGGAGGCATTCAACTGCTTTGGGACAGTTGTTGAAGGTTTGTTGGAAATAGTATTATTTCTTGCTTGCTGCGCACTCAGAACGCAGAACATTAGAACTTAGGCTTCGTTTGGGATGGTTCTCTTCTGCTTCTTAAAGCGACTTTTTAGTATAAAAATTAAATTTTTTTAACAAGAAAGCCGCTTTAGGAAGCAGTAAATAAGCCGCCCCAAACGAAGCATTAGTTTAGTCCCATTAATCTGATTTGATTTTAATCAGAGTCTAACAATATGTTCTTTCACGCTTGCACTTTCACATTTTAGTGACTAACATAGATATATTAATGCACATGGAACTCCCACTTGTTGAGCTACTTTGTTGTATATGTTACAGCAAAGGTCATCACTGATAGAGATTCTGGAAGGTCCAAAGGCTTTGGTTTTGTAAGCTTTGAAGATTCTGAGTCTGCTAAAAGTGCTGTTTCAAGCATGGATGGCCAGGTTCTGCCCACCCTCTCTCTCTCTCTCTCTCTCTCTCTCTCTCTCTCTCTCTCGCGCGCGCACGCTCTCTCGCTCTCTCTCTGAATGTGTGCTTACCTTTGCCAGGAGCTGCATGGTCGAAACATTCGTGTGAGCTTTGCAAACGATAGACCTTCTGGCGGGTTTCGCGGGGGCTATGGCGGCGGGGCAGGTGGATTTGGTGGCTCAGGTGGTTATCAATAAGAAGTTGGTTCTAGGATTGGCAAGCCAGCCAAGATGGATGGCGATGGAAGTTCAGGTAGCAAAATCTTGTTCTAGTTTTCATCAACATTTCTGTTCGTGTATCAGTTTTATTTCTCTTATCTGCAAACTTCTCTCTATTATTTCTCCTAAGTCAGCTTTTCTTTTTCTGGATTAAAATTGAGCGTAAAAATCGTATCTTAGCTAACATTACAATGTTGTAATCGTCTTTTTAGTCCGTTGTGGTTATGATTGTAAGTGTGGTGTTAAAAATTATCATTATATATGAATGTTCTTTGTACTGCATAACCAGTCTTGTATAATTTTTTATATTTGCAAGTTTTGGAAAACAAAAGTGTTTGTTAAGATTTGCAAATTGCATATTTAGAGGGGATGGTTGAGTAAATTGCAAGATGCTGAACAATGCTTTCTGACTTCCAGTCAAGATTGGCTGTTTGGTTGGTGAAGGAAATGGAAGCCTCGCAAGTGGCTACTTGCTCTGATGTCCAGATTTCTTATATTGCAATTTATGCCAAACTGATTTCAAAACAACCCAAAAATTCTGCTGCATATGATCAATGGTATCGACGATCAGGGGTCTGAGTGAGTCAAGTTGACTCGTGAGTCAGTTTGAGTTTATCTCGATAAATGACTCGTAACTCATAAGTCGTGCTTGTTTAGCTAACTTGTGAGTCAAGTTTGAGTCGGCTCGAATCGTTTACAAAGTAAAATATTAATATAGAATTTTAAGTATAAAAAGTTATCAAAAATATTTAAAATTTTATTTTATTTTGTAATATTAAAGTGGTTTTTTAAATCATTTTGTTATAATAATTTATAGAATCATAATAATTTTCTCTTTGAGCTGGTAAGTACTCACATGATAAAGTTCAAGTTATATTGATTAATTAAACAAATTAAAGCAAGCTGTGACTGGGTGTTTATATATTTTTCTTTTGAACTTGTACTGTAATATAACTAAATTTTTTCATATATATTAATATAGCCTTCAATTTTTTATAATTTTTGATGTATCATGAATGTTCTTGTTATTATTTTTTTAACATATAACTCAAGTTCGAGCTCCTGATTTAACTGACGAGCTCAAGAGCTTGACTCATTTACACCTCTAGTATTAACCTTTTTCTAGGCTAATCATAACTAATTAATAATGTTTTATAAAAATAGAGACTGCCACATATTCAAGAAAGAATACTTAACCTTATACTAAAAAATGACTCATGGACAGAAATTGAACTAATACAAGATGTGTAAAGAGATGCAACAAAGATCATCAAGGAATATAACATTAGAAGCTTCAAATCTCTTCAAATCGGATACACAGATTCAATAGATTTCTAAAAGGAGAGAAGCAAATCAAATGCAACATATCAAGATTTTGAAGGTGCAAGGAAGAAAGAAAATCAAGGCCCAACAGCAGCAGTAACCTTAGATATGGCTTCCAGAAATAAAGCCTTGGCTGTGATATCTGTGGAGAACTGACCCATCACAGCAATTGTTGCTGTGCTGCTTCCGACCTTCTCGATCCCTCTTGATACCATACAAATATGATTTGCTTCCAAAACAACCATTACTCCCCTTCCAAGAACGGAATATACAGCTTCTGCTATCTGTCTTGTAAGCCTCTCTTGCACTTGAAGCTTACAGCCATAGAAATGAACCATTGTTTGCAAAGAAGATCTATCAATGTCTTTCTTTTCTTCATCATGGAAGTAGCCAATATGCACTACACCATGGAATGGGAGGAGATGGTGCTCACATTGGGCACAGAAGGGTAAATTGAGCTCTGAATTTATCTCATTCTCCCTGTGAATATAACCATTTGAACTTTTATGCGAGTTAATAGCATTGAGAAGAAAACCATTTTGCCTGATATCTATATTGGATCTACTGAAGTTCATCAGCCAATGCACATAGCGATATGGAGTACCAACAAGCTCTTTTCTTGAGGGGTCTTCTCCAAGTGATAGAATAATTGAAGCCACTGCTGCTACCATGGAAGTATGAGAAACAACTGGCTTGGAAAAAATTCTGCCATTTAGCAAATTATTCCTCATCATGTCATCATTGGATTCGGGCACATCAAGAGACCTTAACAGACACCAAGAGTGAATTGAACAACCTGTATTGCTGAGATCAAAGTTTGCTCCACTAAATTGTAAAAGAGTATGAAAATCATCACTGAAAGAACTTTTCTTTTGCTCAAAAACCCCAGTACTGGAACAAACTGAGGTATGCACCCAACCTTGCATGCTAGATCTAGATGGATGTCTTGGGAGATTCAGATTAATGCACTTCAAAACTTTAGGGAACTGGATGTGCCAACATTGAAGGGCAACGGAAACACCAGCTGGTCTGATACTATTCTGTAGAGCCTGACAGATTTCATCAGCGAGTCTTTGTGGTTCTTGAAGCCTTTTAGCATAAACATCAGCTACCCTGGAAAGCTTGCTAAGTCCTACAACTCTTTGTCCTGAAGGAATATAACCTACGTGACATTTGATGCTGAATGGAAGCAGGCAAGACTCACAATAAGAGAATAGATTGATGTCTCGAACTACCACCAGACCACCATCACCTCCTGCATGACCTATTCCATTGTTCAATCCAGCTTCAGGAAAAAAGGCACCTTGTACTATGTCTTCCACTTTCTGTCTGTAACCTACAAAAGCATCAACGAATTCATTATTTCCTTGTACAAACAAAAACAAAGTTTATAATCCCATTTCTAGATTTCTTAATATTTATATATAAATATATAATAAATAAAATATAGCTCCCATAGCTTTAATGATCATTAAAGACAACTTAGGACCATAAAAGTTAGTTGATGTTAAGGCACTAAGAAAAGGGAAATGACAAAATGACAATAAGAGAACAATGATAAAACATAAATGTGAAAACAATATGTGCCAATAATATTAGATGGTCTAAAACAATAAAATCTCTAGGCTATATAAATCCTCATTCCCCTTTCATGCTTGTTGAATGTACAATGAGGCATTTACTCCATTTTGCACACACTTTTTTGCACACATTCTAATTAAGTGGATTTTTTTTTCCTACCACTTTCCTTTCTAATTATTCCGAATCAATTTTAACAATTCATCTTATTTGCTCATTTCTCCCCCGCTGTTCTACATATGCATCACCTAAATCTAATTTCCTCTATATTAAATCCAACATCTTCAAATCCCACCTTCTCTTGAATAAAGTCATTCTCACTTTCACATTCAACTTGGCTCTCAATAATTTTTTATCAACCAACACTCAGATCCATATAGCATAATTGATTTGATTGCAGATTTATAGAACTTAGAGCTAATTACTAACATTATTTAGTAAAGTACAGTGATTAGAGTCATTCATACTTGATCTTCGTGCATACAAATTAACCAAATCCGTTTGTGTGTAAGAAAGACAGAAGATCAGAGAAATGGGTTGAAAAACCAAAATTAAAATTTCGAAGCTTTATAACAATAAATATGATTTGGTAAAAAGAGAAAAATGATTAACAATAAATATGATTTGGTAAAAAGAGAAAAATGGGTTGAAAAACAATCGCATGGAAACCGATAAAAGCGAAGTGCAAGTAGTACGAAAAACAACAAATAGAAATCCATATAAAAATCTCATCTTTCAATCAAAATCGAACGGATCCAACACGACAGCTACCAACAGATTTAGAAAAGCAAGACGAGCAATACCTCTTGTGCCCTCCCTGAAAGCCTTGGCCACGCGAATCGGCGTCTTCCTTAGCCCCTCCCTCTCAGAATCCTCCCCTAACCCCATTAAAAGGACTCTCACAGCATTCTCCATTGTTCCCATCGCAGGCCCTCCCGCTCCTTCGCCGACAGTGTTATCGGACACCTCTGGATCGAACCGTCCTTCCTCAAGCGCACCCATCTCTTCTTCCCTCGACATGAAAACAGATTTAGCAAGAGAGAGAGAGAGAGAGTGAAGAGAATAGTTGGCAATGAGAACCGCACCACAACGAAGCAGATATATATATCTGGGACACTATTTGGTGCGAAGTACGGATCCATGCATGGAAAGTGAAAAAGCACATGAGTGAACAGCAGTGGTGATCAGTGATTTTACTGATGGCAACCACAAAGTCTGGATCCAAATTCTGCTCGTAATAATCTTCCCAGAAAAAAGAGGAAGATTTTGATGAGCAATAGAGAGATGTATGGTCTTAAAGAGCGCGGTTCCCCGCTGTTTAAAGCGAAGGGTCGCAGACGGACTGGATTCCACTGATAATTGTCGAAGAGCAAGATGATTCCGCATTATGGAAATTAGAGGAGAGAGAAAGAGTTGAAAGAGAGCGGGAGAAAAGGAGAATGGTTGGAGGACCGCCGCCTGCGTCAAAGAAGAGATTTTTGGCGTGGGGAGGTGTGAAAGGTGGGAGATTAGACCGATTACAGATCGCAGTTAGTGCGTGGGCGATGGGGACGTTTGGGGTTGGCTGTGCTTCAGAAATAAGATGCCGGACGCGCGCGGTGGTTGAGCAAAGGGGATTCAGAAATATTATGTGTAGACGTCAAATATAATTCATAGTTCGAAGATCAATTAAAATATAATATATAAGCAGAATTAAGTGCGGTATCGAGCTGCGGCATCGAACCGTGATACGAAGATGTAAGAGTGCGGTACCAAGTGCGGTACCGAGCTGCGGTACCAAGCCATGATACAGAGCGGGAGACGATATGACATATTTTGATTGGTCTCTAGACATTATTCGTTGCCCCCCAAAATAATTTGCCCAGCCTCACTGCTCCCATTCGATCGCTCAACCGGCAAAAAAAGAAAAAAAATGCTATTTGTACGCTGCAGTAGTGGTGATCAAATTGATGTCATTCACTTCAATTGTAATTGAATTTGGGTTAACATTTAATTTGTTTGAACTGATTGAATTTTTTATTTTAACTTATAATAAATTGAAAAAGAACTTACATATATATTATATAATATTTATTTATAAATAGTCTCAATTATATATATAAATTCATTTTTTATTTTTAATAATTTAAATTAATGATTATTTTGTTATAAATTTGTTGAGGGCTAATATTTTTGTGGCGGTATAGTAAGAGAACTTTTTATCTTATAGATGCTAGAATATCCAGCACACAAATAAATAATTGATAGAGCAAAGAAATGTTAGAACTTTTTTATGTGAAAAACAAAAAAAGAAAAAAATAATGGGGTCTTGCCTAGGTGAGAAGATTTCTCTATACTTTAATAGTTACAATGCTTGTCATGTCTCTTAATTTGGAGACGAAGAAATTAAAATAATTTGAAGAGTTGATCGTGCATCATATGTGTACTAGAGAGTTTGTAATGACTGTAATTGGATGACGAAGGTTCGAAGTCTTGATAGCAGCGGCCAGAAGAAGGTTCAATAGAGGTCGATAGTTGGGCGGAGGTTTAGCCGCGATTAGCGGTTGGGTGGAGGTCTAATGGTGATCGTGATCGAGCGGTGATCTGGCGATGACTAGTGACCAAGTAGAGATCTGACTACAGTTAGAGGTTGGGCAGTAGTTCGTTCGCAAAGCGGAGGTCTGACAGTTGTAAGCGGCCATGCGGAGGTCCGACGACAATCGGAGGCCGAACATGATGTTCGACAAATATCGATAGTGATCGGCAACAGAGTAGAGATCCAACAATGATAAGCTGGCGACAATAAGATGGTGGTCGACGATCGGCCTGAGATCCGACTGTGGTAGGTGACCAGGCGAACGTTTGATAGAGACCAGACGTTTGACGATGGTCGGCGATTGGGAGGAGGTCGGAAAGTGGGAGGCGGCCGAGCGGAGGTTCGATGATGGTTGGAGGCTGGGTGGTGGTTTGACATTCGAGCAGAGGTCTTGGAGTGGTAGGCAGTCGGGCGGATCTCCAGTGACGGTAGTAGGCCATGCAACGTTCTAGTGGCAGTTGGCAACAAGGTGGAGGTTCGACGGTGGTAGGCAGTCAGACAGAGGTCCGTTGATGTTCAGAGAACGGGCAGTGGTCCAATGGCGATTAGTGG